ATATATATATATATATATATATATACATATATATATAATGGCTTAAATGAGAGATATTTATTTATTTATTTATATATTGATATTGCAGGTTGGTATATATCAGTAAGCAAGTTCAAATTTGTTGTTGAATAAAAGTAATCACAATGTGCATAAATTCTACTTGACTGACGTAATCAACGTATTTCTTTGAAACAAATATGAGTAAAATTGTAAAACTAGAGATCAAATTATCAGTCTTATTAGTGCTACCATAAATAACGATGGTCGTGATTGCTACCATTATTAATGTTGTAAGTATAAGTACTAATAACAATAATAAATTAGGGCGGGAAAAGTAGTCATGATAAATGAATGATAGTTTTGCGATCCCAAAATCTCAAATTATGATAACGATAACGGATGGTACACTTGAAGTATTACCATAATGTTAAACACTTTGCACAAATTTAGATGATAATTAAAATTTTTTTCGTTTTAGAAAAGATAATTTAGTTTTGTACTGTGAATCTAAAAAAAATGACAGATCGAAAAAATGAACTGGATGCTACGACAGCGGAAGAGTCGAATGAAGTGAAGAATGTATGCAATCCTGCGACTAATGCCAGTACCACTACAAAATGTGGTGGTAATGATGACTGCGCTGCTCTCACTAAAAATGATGGCTGTAATGATGATAGCAATGATGGGAAAGATGATAATTTTGATAAGGGTAGTGATGGAAGTTCTAAGAATACAGAAGAATACCAAGAAAAAGAAAAATCGCTGATGAATGAATATTTAAAAAGTCTTCGAGGTTTACTTTATTTTCAAGTTTGCTGCGTTTTTCATTTCAGTGAAAAAAATCATGTTATTGAGTAAATTTATATAATGTAAGTTCCTCCAACTTATATAACACTTTGATATTTCGCTTTAGATTTTGTACAAACTTGGTAACTTCATGAAGCATTGAACCACAATTACAGTAACCGATTCAATAATGGAACCTAATGTGGATGTGGCAATAAAAGGATATTTGCGAAATGGAGGTCAACCGGAAGTTGTTATCAGCAGTCTCACTGAGAGTTATTGTGGTCTTGCACAAGTACCGTATTAGATGCATTTTTGGACTTAATATTTTTGCATCTTATTTAAAAAAGTTGGTTAAAAATAGGTAAATTGAAAAATTTTACAGAATACTGAAGTCAGTTTAGTAGTGCTAGTCTGTGTTTACAATGACCATCATGATTGTAAACCAGCAATCCCAAAAACAATGTATTACAGTCCTTGCTTTACTTAAGCATGGTCTGGAAAGCCAAGGTAAGTAGAAAAAATAGCATGTAGTAGTATTTTAGTATTGCGAGATGCTCGCTGAGTGGTTGTCAGATGCAACAGGTAGTTGGAAGTTAGTTCATGAATGCTTAGAAAAAAGCTTAAGTAAACTGCTTGAAAAGCGTTTTGCTGCCAACCTTATGGATAGCAAGTATGAAACTATTGAAGACTTCGACGAATGGCTATCTGAACTTGTAAAACATAGGTAAAGCTTGTCTTGCTTTTTACTTTCAGCATTCGAGTAATCCTGAACTTGGATTACGTGTAATCAAATTTGAATTATGACTAAATGTTGTTGAAAGAGGAGATAAGATTTAGTGATTCAATTCAACATTTCAACTGAATATTTGAAAAGTAATTTTGCATAAGTTTGTTGCATTAATTATTTAAATGTTACAGCTGGTGTAAAATGATCATGTAAATGTAATTTATGTTTAATCATTTGCTAGAAAATAACGTGAAGTAAATTATTCAATTACTTAATTCAAATATTGTTCATACTCAAGCAAACAGTCTTGAAATTGCAGTCCATGGCGTAAATTAATTTACAAACTTGCTGCGCAAAGTCCTCGATCGAAATTCCTAAAAAAGGCAGTGCAAGTTAGCTCTGCTGCTGGTTTTCAGCATGAGATCACAGATGTTCGCATTGCTATTCAGCAAGTATGATTATCAAAATTGACCTCTTGACCCTCAGTGTTTTCAACTTCATATCATTTATTTTCAGAAATTTTTGCAAATAATTCAGTTGTTTGAACTGACACCTCGTCTTTCTTTTTCATTATCTTTCCCACCTCCTTTAAAATTCACAATCCAAAAACTTTCATGCCACATTTTTTCAAAAATTACAGGAACAATAATAATAAATAAAAATTTTTTCTTTCTTCAGATTTGTCGTCACTAATTGTCGATAATTATTCTGTATTTTACTTATACTTTTTATTCACTAACTACTTGTTACTTTCATTAATTACAGTGTGCAACATTTCAGGTGGAAATTTATTCTCACTTATTACTAAAATCAATTGATACATGTTTTCGAAAATACAACGATGGGCCTTTAACAGAAGAGTATGAAAAAGCATTTTCAGAAGTTTGCCATGTAGTTTTTTACAGTGAGCAAACGTATTTATTCACGCAAGCTCTTCTACATGAAATTATCGTGAATGTCAGTAACAAATTATCACTGATCATTTTCATTAGCCAAAAAAGTTGGCAGAATTTTTAAAGATTTCATACAACTTTTGAAACCACTTTTTTGTACCACACAAAGATTGTTGTACATAAATGAAACTTTAAGATTGTCAAAATGCAAGTAGTTTGTTAAACATAATGGTTTCATATTGAAGGAGGATAGTTGTAGAAGATAAGCATTCCATGATAAGGTTTTGGCAGATAGATAAATAATTCCTAAAAATATTGCTAGAAAATTTGTCAAGTAAAATGATTCTAATTAGCAAGTTCATTTATTGTAAATAATTACATCATTCAAAGATTTTACTCTGTTATATTTTTCATTTGTTATAATATCAAATTTAGGACAAGAATGAAGCAGCAATAATCTGTACACATTTGTCACAAGCGCTGCAAGTCGAAGCTCACAAACGTGATTATCAGGACACGTTCGACATTAATATGGCTTTATCCACAGGAAGTGAAATTTTTGGTGAAGTAAAGCAAATTGTGCTGACGATGTTAAGCAAAAAATCTTTAAATCCAGCAGATATCATACGTCTTTATGATGTATGTTAAACGAAGATCTATTTGCAGTCTTATTCACAAACTTAATAATAGTATGGAAGTGAAAGTGAATTACAACTGAATTTTGTAAGTGTCATTCTCATAAATGAAAATTCTAATGCTGAAAAGTTCACCACGATAATTTAATAACGAGGTCAAAATGAAAAACTATTGGAAGCCAATATCAAAGGGACAAAACAAATTAGGTTCGACAATGAGTTAACGGTATCATTAAGTATTGAAGGTATTTTAGTTTTTTTTTTTACAGTTTGATACAGTTGCAAGTGTCTATTTCAGCTTTATAGCTCATCAGAACCACCACCTACTGAATTCATCCAATATCCATTTTTCATTGATATGCTTATTGACTCACTGTATTGTTACGAGGGAAATAAAGTATGCATTTCTTCCAGTAATTAGCAATTTATTAATCTCATATTTCCAACTATATTTCATAAAGGATCAAATGAAATTCAGTGTTGAATGTTTGTTGCTTCCACACACATCCTTCCAGTACCTCAACAATTTCTCATTCCATTCTAAAACTTTCAATTCGATCCGAAATGGAAACTAATTGACTCATTTTTGTCTTTTACATCACTATTCTTTAATTATTCATGTATTTTAATTTTGAGCAATTGGCTAATTACAGATTGTCTACAAAAATTCGTTTAGATTCAGAAGCTAGATATACATTTGACTGGACTGTTAACAAATCTAATTCAATTGTGCAATTACCATAATGCAAGTTTGCAGATTCAGTCAATTCATCGGTCCAAATATATCTTTTTATTGTCTTACGCTTCCTGTGGTGGTTCACGAAGTGCTGATGGCGAGTCAGTAAATGTGAGACTTCTTTTGCCCAGTATCAAATACATTATCCAATTTCTGCCCTAGAAACAATTAATAATTTTATTTCACTCTCGGTGTTGCACATGGGTTGAATAATTGGCATAGACAAAAATTTCTGCTGAATAATATGTTTGTGAACAAACAAATCGCGTGATACATCCTTTCTTGTAAATTTTTCATTTTTAATGATGCATGCGAAGAAAAGTGAAAACTATTAAAGCTAGCTCAGACTTATACATTTAGGAGGAGTTTGAACAAACTAAAAGTGCTATGGAGAGCGTACTAGATAGCATAAGATCAGAACGTGATCCGACGAGACATTTTCATTTATTACTTAATGGTTAAATTTGCGCTTTTTGGCTCGAATCAAGCTAACAAACTGATACATCGATACAAACACTAAAGTGATAAAAGACTTGCGAGAGATTACAAACGACATTAGGAATCTTAAGTACTAGAAGTGTTGATGCAAGCAATAAAGTGCTAATAAAAATACTAATGACTAAATCTATCTCAAAATTCATACAACTTGACCTTACGACTTTATGTATGTGTCTCTGATTAAACACTGTCATCCACTAACTCAACACTCGAAATGCTTAATTCTTCTTTAGCAATAACATTTCCTTCAATTGCCAGCGGAATTTTGTATTATATACACGGATTCTTGCTAAGCGATCAAATACTCAGCGATCTGCAACTGTTCCACATCGTTTTATTAGATGAGATTGCAAGCAATCACCCTGCTTTACACATCAGGTAACGGAAGTTTTATCTTTCAACCGTCCTTTACGTTCATCAATTCATTATGCGCAACAATCTGCAAATCTACCCACTTTCCTTCCCAAGTAAAAAAATTGACAAAAGACCTTTAATTCACTTGAAGGCTATTCGAAGTGCTGTGCGCCCTGTACGATCGCCAATCGGAACTCTTACAACCAGCCGAAGTTATAATTGAAAAGCAAAGAATCATCCTGGATCGTTTTATCCATCTACTCTCTGTTGGCTTTTCATTACCAGTATTGGAGAAAATCAATAATTTGTTTTATGAAGGGCAGATTGACGTGTCGCTTGCAAGGTTAATTTGCTTGCAAGATTCACAAACCTGAAAGACTCTACCATGTTTATTTCTAAAAATAAATCGAAAGACGTTAACGTTAGCTGATCCGTAAGTCACTAACGATATTTTTGTTTCTCGCATAGTGAGTGTTATTGTGTGTGCACTCTACAACTCCATTACCAAGAGAAGATCTCCTCAGAGAAACGTTATTTAACTTCATGCTGCAAAAAAATTTCAGGTATTCAAAAAGTCTCCCCTCTGTTACTATGAAACAGTTATTCCGCAACATTTAACTGCGATATCTCACACCTAAATTGCAGATACTTTGCAATAGACGTTCTGGATATCATCGATCCACCCTATTCTACGGCATTTGTTGAAAGATTTCTACCAATATTATTAAATCGAGAAATCTTTGACAAACCTACGATTCTAAAAATGCCAACGGTGCAAGAATTCATACAACGTGTCACTAATGATCGTGAGGAAGGTGCAGTGCAAACTAGCTGAAAGTTGAAATCAGCATTACCAACTGAAATTAGTTTTTATATGTGAGACTAAAGTTTAACATGCATGCATTATTAATGAAGATATCCAAAACCCACAATTCAATTATTGCTGCTTAGGTCTGAAAAGATCTTCTCGATGAAAAATATTCCAGAAATATCCGTCGCTCATTAACCAATTTTTGCACGACTCTGTTGTTTGTCTCTATTTAAATATGTATAGCAAAAATTGTGAACAAACTTCTCATTATCACATTACTCCCTATTACCACATTACTCCTGTCGATCAGACTTACATTCTCTACAATACTTTATAATTAAAATGCCACGTAACACTTCTCCCGTATAGATGTTAAGAATAAAATAGGTACAAACTCCTTCATCTGGTCTATTTTCTAGAAATGCTGTTGCACATTTCAATACATTAAAATGCTGTATGTTCGAAACTTTTAAAGAGATTCAACTTTTACTTTTAATTTCACTATGTTTAGTCCTGAAAAGCTGGACTTGCTTCATTTTACATAATGCAACCATTATTCACTTCAATTCATCTTGTAACTTTTTTATGCTTCTTTAAAACAAGGCCAAAAAAACACCAAACTCAGCACTAATCATTTTGACATGCTTTTGATTCTTTTAAATAAACAAGAAACATACCCAAAATAAAAACTGTTTCGCACAAAAATAAGTTCACCAGTATTTTAAAACAATATATAAGTACAATATAACGCGCAATACTATGCTTCATAAACACAACGATCTATTCATGATTTTCAATACTGTTGTTGCTGATGATACTGCTGAGGCTGCTGTCCATAAGGCAGCTGCTGCTGAGTGAATCTAAACAGTGAAATTCATTTAAAAGAATACTGCAATAACAATAATGATTAAGAATAATGAGGGAGAGATTATATATATCTGTAAAATAGTAAAAGCAAAAAATAGAAGATAATATGTGGAGGTTAGTTTTCGTTTTCGCTTTATTGGTTTTGGCGCTGAATCGCATTCCGGCATTCTGGCAATACTTGTCCCGCGCTCTGATTTGTTGCACTCATCGTTCTCGCTTCTTCCTCCTAGAATCCATACCGACTGTCGAAGAAATGCTTTCAAACGTCTTTTTGAGAACTATAGAATGAATGTATGCCTCGACGTGGTCAGATATACTGATCTCCTTCGCACATCGTTTGTGAAAGTTCGTTACAATCCTATCCCAAGTCATAAATACGGAATTATTTTGGTCCCGCATTTCATCTCTGACTTAAACTTATTAGCAAGCAGGTCATATTTTCTCTGTTTCTCGGTCTCAACTGCTGTTCACCTTCCTGACTAATACCAACCTCTAACAGTATTACTTCACGTCGCTCCTTATCGTGTATCATAATATATGGTTGATCCGCCTTTATTCTGATTGCAGTTCTCACTCGCGTATCGACTCTGATCTCAACTAGCAGGACCTCATTGTGTCTTCCAGTGTAGTCGTGATGTAACCTTTTTATCGCACTGAGTGGTCCACCATCTTCTCACGTTCCTTATAATGTTGGCACATACCTTTATCAGCTCCAAACATATTTCTAACTTGGAGGTTACAGCATCGTTCTTCCTCTTGCAAGGTAATGTTTACGTATCGTAACAATTTTGATGAATCAGCTATGGATGAGATTTTATCCGTCCGCATCTTGTATAGCTTTGCATGGTGGATTTTCTTTTCTATTTCGCTACACAAGAACTTATATATATATATAATTTTTTTAACGTTTTTGTACAGTTTATGCCGTTAAAATTGTAACCTAGAATCATAAACTGCTTGCTGCACAGACTGCTGCCCGTAAGGCATACCCCGCTGTTGCTGGTGATGAACAACGTATTGAGAATTTGCTTGAGGATCTACAAAAATTGATTTTAGTGGAAGAAAATGCACGCTTCTAAACATAGCTATTTGCAGTACCACATTAAAGCAAAGAATCTTCTTAACCAAATGTCTCTTACATCTTTTTGCAAACGTGTTAATAAATTTATAAATTTAATTCATAAATCACTTACCTTGCTGCATTTGAATTAACTGTTGCTGCTGAGCATACTGCTGTTGTTGTTGGCTATGATCCGCCATTGGCATTGGACCAGCTTCCATTTTCATCAGCATACCTCCACCATACTGTACAGACCCTCCAGCCATTTGATATGCTTAAAGAGCGGAGCTGACCGGCAAGAAAATAACTAGCAAAGAAAATAAAAGATTGAACAGAAACAAATTTATGAATGCGAAAAAACCATGGATTCTCTTCATTTTCTCCTTTCTCTCACAGTCATGTTTTTTAATTTTAAAGTACTTGCACAACCGAGTATAAGTATTGTATTACCGTTAACATCTTGCATAGCTGACTGAGGTCCACCTGCACTTGCACCCTGTTGCGCAGGACCGACACCACTGGCTGCCTGTGCCTGTCGCTTCTGCAATATCATCGAATGGATCTTCATTTTAGAATCTTCTGCCGTTTGGTTATTTATCGCAACACCTGCAATTGTTTGATTTCAGTGCATACCTTAATAAATTAGTATTCGCTGAATCATAGTTTGTCTCATTCTACTCAAAAATTTAGCAAGCACAACTTATAAAAAAACTTTTTCAATTCCGGATAAAATTGAAAAAAGTGTCGTGGAGTGCAGAATTAAGCACCAGTACTTTAAGTTTCTTACAAATAAATAGTATTTAAGATATCATTTTGGACCTGGCGGACCAACAGCAGAAGGTGCTGAAGGTGGCGCAGCAAACTGTTGCCCCAGTGCCTGTTGTGGACCAGCAGAAGTCCAAGTTCCTGGATAAGTTGCTTGAGGTGATGGACCAACAGCAGTCATTTGTTGTTGCTGCTGCGCAGCAGCTGCAGCTGCAGCAGCTGCTGCTACAGCCAACTGATCTACTGTCTGTTGCCGTTGCTGTCGTTGCTTACGAGTTGTACCTTGAGAACGTGTAGAAATACCTGTTGCTTTGCGACGACCGCCTGAAAAAGTACTTGAAAAGAAATTGACGGTTATTTTTTGTGTGAGGTATGAATTTTATGCCCTTGTAAACAATAAACAATTATGAATACACTAAAATAGATATCAACCAACCTCGTGCACCTCTTGGTGATGAACTGTTCTGACCTCGTACTGCTAAATCTGAAAGCACTGGCATCGGACCACCTTGTCCTGGGAATACTATCCCTGCTCCGGCAGCAGATGATGCAGATCCATCAGGGATAGGTTGTCCACAACCAGATGTAGAATTTGGTTGATAACCCATAGGACGACCTTGTGCTCCTTGTCCAAGCGCTGAATTTATATCTACCGTAGGACCTCCTGCAGAAACTGGCACATTCTACAAAAAAATGATATTAGAACAGCTGGTCTTAGATTTTCATTACTTGATATAAATGTAAAAATTATTTTACAACCACTAAAATAATGTCACTGCATGATTATTCACAAGAAAGATTTCTTTTTTCCTTTGATACTAGTTGAGAAAAACAAAGTTTTCAATGTTGAATACCCATATCTTACTCTTTGTTCCAGAACAAATGTTAAATAATACGATATACATCAAACATTATTTTGACTGTACACATTTACAAATGAAATACTTTATTCGTTTTTAACTACAGTAAACTATCAACTAAAGAATGATGATGACCCTGCGAAGGTTATAAAATTAGCAGGGAATTTTAACATATTCAAAAACATACCGCAGAATTAGTCGATGTGGTTGTAGAAGTAGAAGTACTGGAAGAAACGTGATGTAGTGCAGCTGGAGTTTCCGATACATCCATCAGTGGTGGTGAAAGATAAATATCCAAGTTAGGTGGTCTACAAAAACTGATAACTTTTCTGAATTCATAATAATACTAAATAATGAAGCTGCATAGTATAATCTGCAATCAATCGAAACAAAAATATTTCAAAAATAATGTGATTGATTATGAAAAAAAGTAATACAAGTCAAGAGTGAAAAATAATAATAAATTTGGAAATCGAAAACAGGAAATAAACTGTATTCACTATAAATTTCGCTACACTTTTTATCTAGATATTAAATAAAATAGAAATTATTAACCGATCCATTCCACAAATTGTTGGGCGTACAAATTCATTATAATGAGAGTGATGAACAAGACGCTGAATGTATCGCTGAACAGGAATGGGTACACGATCTAGTTTTACGGCCTATAAAGACTGAATTGTCATTACGAATTTGCAATAAATTAAATTACAAAATGCTTAATATGATAAATATCGTTCATTCTAAAAAAAGTAAGGATTTTCTCGCTTTATGGGACAGAGTTATTATAATAACCGTACCACTATACTTAAATTTTAAATAAATGAGAATGATCTACTGATCCAAAAAAATAAAAACTTAAAAAACCTGCAGCATTGACCAATTCCAAGAGCGCTTTAGAAAAGCAAAGTCAACATTCAGATATTGTATAATGTCGTAGGCTGATAATTTAACTTTTTCGGCGAACTAAAATAAGACAATCGCAACAACCACTACGATTCAAACTTAACCGTGCTTACAGTGAATCAATTATTTATCACTGCATTTTGGAACAAAAAAGCTATATGCAATACCTAATTATTCTGAATACACACAAAGTAGTGTGCATTACATAAGCACGAGCCCCATACATAAAGTGTACGCTGCTGGAAGACATACTAAGGTGTCATTCTTTAAAATGATAAAAATTGTTAGCACATCATAAAACGTGAAGGAAATTACTTTCTTTCCTTTTCTTTGTTTATTCCAAGATTAAGTAGAAATATATTCCCTATATATACGAGAGCTTTTCAATATTAAACTTTTAAAGGCCAAAAATAACAAAGAGTTTTGTTACAACAATTATACACACTCACTTGTAAGCCACGACGACTAGCTTTAATTGTAGATTGATTAATCTGTCCTTGTGACTGACTCTTTCCAATTTTCTGAGGCGATGTCGGAATAGTACCATATGGTTCACAAGTAATTAATTCGAACTGCGGTTTAGGAATTGGTAAGAACTGCATAAGTGATCGAAGTTCCGGAATCAACGCATGTTCATTCAGCTCTTTCTGTGCAGTTATTTTATTACTGTTTTACTTGCAAACACTATTTCATATATTACATTTATGAGTCCTTCTGTACTAATTACAAATAATAAATTTAGTGGCTGCATAGTGATAATTATTACTTACTCGCAATTTTTTAACGATCACAGAATAGATAGCAAATCGATATTTCGTATCCGTATCTTGAGGATTTACTGGAACTGCATTCATTGGGTCAGTAATTGACCAAACTAATAACGTTGATAACATATCAAAACATGAATCGAATAAATACCTATTAAAAAAACAGCAAATTAGTTAAGTATAATAAAATGAGTAAAATACATAATTACTATGAAATACGATTTACCTATCTCTTTCCCTTGAAACAACTCCATACAACATTAGCTGAAAAAGTGTCAATGCCCAAGTATCACAATTCGAGGGGTGACATACTGAATCAAACATCCCTCCAACCAGTGATATACGCAACAACACTCCTTCACGTTCCAAAGAGAATATACGCAAGTAAGGTAACAGAGGATTCTGAAAAGTATTATAATTTAGGATATCCTGATAATTATCTGCTAAGCTTCATTTGGTCCTGATAATTTCCAGAAATACGTAAAATTACAATATTTGAATATATTCAATGACATCAAATCACCTGCAACAATTGCATCTTACTGGACATATTTACCTGTACAGCTTTTAGTTAGATCTGAGATATAGTTATAAACGACTCAGGATTAATGCTTCACACTAAATAGTGAAATCCCACACTCACTTCCTTTGCTTTCAAAGCCAAATCCTGAAGTTGTTTGAGCATTGATCCCACTAAGCCATCACGCTGCTGCTCTTCACCATTTAAACATGTCAGTACGAGGTTCAGGAATGGTTCCTGACTCAAAAGCCATGCACTAAAAATTAGATAATAGTGACAGTTCCATGCAAAATTTCACTACTGAAGCTTATCAACATACAAGATTCTTAAATCATGTAATGGCTTTCTACAATTATGAAAAACCTTTGCTGTATTTTTTCTTTGCTGTTATCTGAAGAAGTATCTAGCATTGCCGCTGCTTCTTTGAGAAATTTTCCTTGAACAGTTATTGCTGGAAATGAAGCTGGCAAATTTCCTGGTCGTGGACAGACATGCACTAAGGGACTTATCAACCAGTAAGCTGTAATATCCTTCAACCTGAAAAATTTTAACTTTAGTTTATCATATCGTTAAGGACGAAAAGTAACCAAATATTAAAAAGAAATCAAAGAAACAAATTTACCTTAACTGATTTTATGTTCTTTTAAATGAATGTTATATTTGTGAATACCTAATTTTTAGTTGCTTAATAAAATTACACTTTCATAACATGATTGATTCTGTCTATTAAAAAAAGTTAGGACAAACCACTAATTACCTAAATGCTTTTCCTACAGCAGCCGGTGGTAATTTTTTATCTGATTTGTGAGAATGAGTGAATAAATCTCGACAACATTTGCCCATTTCACCAAGTAAAGCATCTGCAGCGATTGCACCTTGCTGAGCATGCTTACTTGTACAGCCTTCTGGTGAAATCTGAGACAGAAACATAATTGTCATACATGATTGATGCCTTACAACTCTATAACTTAACCAACAAATAAAATAAGACCAACAAAACAAAAATTTTAGGAAAAAATGACAAGACATCTTTTAAGTTCACTGATGATTGCTGAAAAAACTGGAAACACCAAAGAAGAAGAATGCTGTGTTGATCTGCAGTCAGGATATACTAAATATGACAAAGAAGTAAAAAAAAATCGAATCTAGACTTTAAGAAAACGAATAAGGTCCAAGAGGAAAATTCTGCAGAGTAGGTAAAATATCACTTTGTTAGTATACCGAAACTGAGTACCAGCAGCACTATTATGCTTGAAGCACTCATCCGTGGAATCGACGTTATGGATAGATAAAGTGTTGAAGGCGGTTCTAAATCGTTTCGGGAGATGACTTTTATGTCGTTCTTGCGTTGTGAGAAGTTCATGTGTGCGATTAGTCTTCAAGAACTCAGGTTTTGTGATCACCACCACTATAGGTCTTCCATGCTCGCAGAAGCAGTTCTTAGAGGATACAGCAAAACGTGTCAAAATACCTGACACGTACTTTGAGCAAAATGCATTACATGAGTTTCAGGTTTACCTGGTTGTGAAGAAAAGTATGTGCTGCTGAAGCAAAGAATTTTTTGCCAGGTTTATTTCACGTCCCAAGGACGTGCGATGAACGCTGAAAATAACTTCGGAAAACATTAACCCTCTTATATTTAGATCGGTGGACCCGCGACGAGTGAATATGCCACACGGTATCCCCCAAAATCAATGATCGCTATTACAAGGTAGCTCTGGGTGGCACAACAATGTTATGAAGACAGAACAAGATGAAAGAAGTCCATCAGGATGGAAGGCAAGATTGTTCCGCGAAACACTCGTATTTGACTGCCAGGACTCTTGCATACAAACACCGACTATGTTCAAAACGACGTGAAAGCATCTTTTATCACCGATCCAATGAGCAACGGAGATGAGCACAACAAAACTGAGCGGGGGAAGAGTACAGCCACAATGCCGAAATTCAATCCAGCACCAGAATCAATAATGCAGCAATAAAAATTAACCTCCATGTGATAAATAATATATAAATCAAATCTTATATATAATTTATTTATATTTTTACCTCCCGAATCATCAGTTTGAGATCGAAATAAGTAGCACGCATATTCCATATGTTTAAAACACTGAGCAATTTATCAATCAGCGACTTCTTACTATTACCATTACAAATGGTTAATTCCTTCACAATTTCACGTTCACTACGTCTCCGCAAAGCCATACGTAGTAACTGCTGACCCTACGATAAATAATCAAAGTCAATCAAGTTAGAGATGAAAACAAATAAATTTTCAAGAGTTCTTCTAAATACTTTTCAAAAATAAGAACTACAAATCCGTCTTTTACATTTTTTGCTTTTAAATTAAACTAACGAGATACCAAGTTTTACAAACAAACCAAACAGTTCTTTCGAAGCTGATGTGAAGAAAAACAATCCATTGCACCATCCTCACAACGTTTGTAAATCCTCTGCGTGACCCACTCTTGTTCACACATTGCTGTTAGTACTCCTTTAGACAGTTCAGAGATGTACTCACGACGAAATGCACGTTGATCCACAGACTTATTACTTGAAACAAGTACAGTCGTAATGAATATTACTGACGATAAACCATACAATTAAGCATGATCCATTGAATTACGATCACATACACGATTTGCTCGTGATTCAACAAACTATTTCTAAAGATTCAATTTACTTCACATACAATCATTTCCACTGACATGAATTTAATAAATTATTATCATCATACATTGTACAGGAAAAACTACTTACTCATCTGAATACCGATCTCTCAATTTGTTCATAGTGTAATCAGCAATCATGCATATTGTTACTAGCAGGGAACAAACTTCATCTCCTACATCATGAAGATGACTTTCCGTTAAAATCCATCGATCTGCTTTACTGATATTTGAAATGATCCGCTCTCCAGTGTATTGTGGTGACACTGAAATGTCTTTTGTCTAGATATATAACAAAAAAATACCTGTTACCGTATATTTTATTTCTATTAATTCAAAAGTGGATTTTATCCCCACTAATTTAATAAATGACTGCAACTCTTACAAATTATGGGTTGATCGTTTTGACATACAATATTAGTCAATACTAGAAGCGCTAAGCAAACGCCTGCTTCAGCATCAGCATCGGGAGGTTTACCTGCAACAAATTTTTGCAATTACTGATGCCATACATTACAGGCGAATGATCTTAAACTTTTCACGTATCTGACATACATACTGAAAAAAATTAGATATCAATCACTTCATGTAATAAAGTTTAATATCTTTAACATGAAATGAAACTCCAGGTAAACAATTATACATTAAAAGAGCAGACATAAATATTTTGAAGATTCAAATGCACTGAGATCCTCTTTAGTTGCAGAAAATTTAGATTTGTTTTACAGCTTACCAATTCCGCAGTTCAGCAATGACTTAAGTGCAGTATGCAATAACTGATGAACCAGTGCATTAATGCTGAAACAGCTTCGTCCTGCCAACAACATATAAAAAGTAGCGATATTATAATGACATGTTGAGTCTTCCACCTAAATTTGAGATGTCAATTATTGTCTAAAATTACCAGGGACTGCCAATCTGAAAGTACTGACATTTATTTCCATTAATAGATCAGGAAAATTTGAGGTCCCGCCCTGTAAACTTGAACAACATAGTGCTTGAAGAGCACCACACCAATCCAAATGTTTTTCTGTTTGAGCTGCTTGTGCACTTACATGTCCACAAATATTTGCCAATTCTACCAACCGATCCTGAAAATTTCAGCTAAATATTTTTGCGGATGACAGTTTTAAGGATATTTTATCATCTTAAAAATTTCCGAAACTTTTAATTCAAAAATAGGTCAGTTGGGTAAACACTCCTGTAGTTTGAATGGAGCTGAAAAGAATTAGTTAAATTATGATAACAAATTGATTTACTCCAGTGGATCGTTCTCCTATTGTTCCACCTGTGCCCTCATTTCCATTTCCGCTGTTTTTACTTCGTGCTGCTGCAAGCAATGCACTCACAACAAAACTGTAACGAGCATCATCCGTTCCATCAATTATGCCATGTAGACGCCGGTATTCATTGAAAGAAAAAAAACGCCTGAAAATCATCGATAGAACCCAAAAGAACTGAAACTTACTAAACATGAAACAAGTTACTAGAATCATATTATTTTTTGCAACATCAAATCCATGAATGTTTGTAAAAAAAAATAAACCAACTTTGGTTCTTCCAGCAGCTCTTTGAAAGTGCTAGCATTGTACGCATATCGCTGTCCTGTGCATGCATTTTTGTCTGTAGAGCTGAGTACAGGTTTCCATGGTGGCAGTACACGTTTTAACAGTTCACGTTTCGCCTCAATTTTGCGATTGCACAAACCTATTAACGAAAGGTATTAATATAGTTTCTATTTGGAGGCTGAATCATCTTAAATTATTATTTTCAATCCACAAATTTCAAACCAGTTTCAATGAGCTGCTTTTTTGCATCAAGCACAAACACAGCAATTGTGCGACTCCAACCAGTCAAACATGAGTCCGGACATTTTAGTTGAGTCTCGATTATTTGATAAAGTCTGCAACAATAATTTTTGAAATCACTTTCATATTACATTCTACTTATACAAAGTTGCCAGTGAATCATCAAACACTTCCAATTAGACTGACTTGAAGAGCCCTATAGCCAAGTTTTAGGTGACTACATTCAAACCCTTATGTATAATTGTAACTGGAAAACTAAAATATGACGAAAAAACTTCGAATAGATCGGTTTAAATTTCTTTTGATATTAATATATATAGTGGAAATTTCTTAAAACTTACCCTTGCACAATGTTGAACGCATTCTGAGAGTATAAGAAGTAATAATAATTGTGAGAAATGTACGCAGTCAAAACAAAACCAATCTGAGCTGATATATTGCTCGGAACACAATCGACACGACGTTCATGAAGCACCTTCTCAACTAGTACCAACAAAGGCAACAACTAAATACACATAAAATGGCATGAAATTTCAATCACAGCACAATATTGGTCAAATCAGAATAAGCCCACGTTCCAAATATTATGAAAATTTTCCGTCTTATTTAAATCTCTAATTACAGCTTTGCAATGGGATATATTTAAAACATATATGATTTTTCTCACATAAAGCGACATGTTTTATGAATACAGCAATAAAATAATAATTTAATGACCAAGAAAGCTCTTTGATCAGTGAATTAACCAGTTTAAGATTTTGACATATTGCAAAGTAAATAATTTACTTCTTCAGCAAGTTCCATGATTCCAGCAATATTTTGCGCTTGCTCACACATATCTAAAAGAATATCCAGCCCTTCAGCAGTAGGTAACACATAACTATGTCCATCTACAAAATCTTGAACCATTTGCACAAATGACTCACAACACCAACCGCTAAGAACCAACTGATCATAATAAGTGCAAGACCTGAAACCTGTAAAATGTCTCAGAAGAGATGTCAAACAGTGCACGTGATGAAAATATCAACAGGATTAAAAAACAACAAAAAGAAGTTGCCTGAATCTGGTCATGTTTTCCTGTATTTGCTCACGCGTAGCTCGTTTTTTAAATCGAATTTCTAAAGGTTTATTGAAAGAAAACTCAACAACAATTCGCTTTTGCCACAATTTTGTTAATTCCCGTGCAAATCGCCTCAATTCTATTTTAGCGTTATCACGTTCTACACCAATTCCATACAGCAGAAGAGATCTACAAGATTTTGAATCTTATAAAGTCTGCTGAGAAATAAGTAATAATGAATTTTATTGCTAATTCATTCAATAACAGTGATAAAAATATCACACGTGCAGAGGAATCTACGAATACCTTTGATTACATTCACTTCTATATTCTCCTGACTGTGGAATAGGTAAGTGTATTAGCAAACGTTCATGAACAGACAAATCTTTTCTCCATAAATATGGATGCTCGTCCGGTATGTCAGGAGGCATTGTCACAAGCGGAGTCGTTGCGGCTAATGTAGGTGTTGAAAAAGCTACAGTTGCTTCAGTTGGTTGAGATGGAAGCGCTGACGAAGTAAATGTATTCAGAGACTGCTGCAGTAAACTAAGATTTTATGATTAAATTATGAAATATGGACATGAGTATAAGTGAATTAACGGTAACAAAGACATTCTTAATAATAAAAAAGTTATAATAATTTATTATACCTTTTGCTTATCATCTTCCCTCTTTTTAATTTTTTGCATCAGCGGCACATATTCCAACATTTCTCCCGTTCGAATTAACTCTTTTACATAAAAATCATGCGAGAAGACACCAGCACGTTGCAATTCCAAGAACAACAATATCAGATTTGCGAATTCATGGCAGAAGCGGTTTTTATCAGTGCCCTCCACATCAGGACCTTCTGTTACCAGAAATTCGGATAATATTTCTTGCAAAGTCAACGAACCTATAAAATGCTCCATAAGAAAAAAAAATTAGATTCTATTTGTGAAACACAATTTTGTGAAAAAGGAAGAAAAAAAAATAAGTCAATCAAAAAGGTTTTTAATATCATCATTATCCAGTAATAATTAAGAAATTTCTGCTGACGTAAAGTATGTACTGATCCCCATCTGTTGAAGACATACCAAATTTAAAAGTTTTACGATGATTAACTCGAAACGCAAGTAATTGCGCCACAAGAATGGCACGGTATGTCCCTTCTCTTTCCATTGTAACTGCCCACTGCAGGAGCATCTTCACGCGAATCGCATGTTCATGCTCCAAAATGATCAAGACTTATTACGCAAAAGTGGCAAATCCACTAGCGACTAAGCATTTATGAGTTAGAACAAGAAAATAAAATAATCATACTTCAAAACTTTCTTTAGATGGTCCATTGAAAATAACAGCATAAATTTTCTCGATACAGTTAGGCTGATCTAGACGTGCTGCATCAAGCACAGCAACTATTTCCAAACACTGCAGTACCGTAGCAGCTGAAAATAGTATTAGAACTAATGACAAAGAGTAAATTTATAAAACAAAGATGAAAACTTTACTAGAACTTTTTGTCTCTATACCGTCAAAGTTGAGTTAAGTTTTGTTGGCATCATTTAGCAGTAGCTGACAGTAAACTAAAAATCATGTTCTGAAGACCTCAGATATTATTTGCTAAACCGTAAAGTTCTAGTACCGGATGCATTTTATTGCTCAGATGTTTGCTTGCGGTCATAATCGAATCTCAGAAACTACCAACTAATGATCATTAGAAAAGTGAAATTTGATTCTAAAAAGTATGCAAACAAACCGAAACCCTTTTTCTGAGCAAAATTTAATGACCATTTATTTTCACAGGCACGAGAACGTCTTCGTACTTCTGCCAGTCGAAGCTGTATGAACTCATGCAACTTCTCAGTACCATGACCGGGTGGCAAAGGAAGACTTTCAAAAGGGCAAGGTAGATGATCAAGTGGTGACCCACATAACTGATGAAGCATTGCAGGCAAACGATTCGATGATACTGTAAAGTCAAAAGTACATTATATAATGTAGTAGAGAAACTACTGAAGATAAATTAGTGACTTAAATCATAATACAAATACAAATGAAACTCTATGGCTCAGCTAAAAAAACTGAATGAAAACAGGATTTTCTGGGTAAAACTGTATCGGAAAATAACATTCCAATTCTTTTTTCAATTTGAAAAAAGAAATAACCTTCATATTTATTCCATATCAAAGATGCAGGACAATCAATAAGTATAGCATAAAGCATGCCACAAAGTGTCAAAATTATTGCACGCTGATGGATACACTGTTGCATATCATCAAATAAAGCAGCACAGTCTATTGATCTGCAATATTTATTTTTGGCTCATTTCAGAGAATGAAACTGTTTCCTCATTCAAGAATGAAGTGGATTTAATATATAGATCAGATAGAAATTTTAATGTAGTAAAAGTACTTCAGAAATAAATAACAATTAAGCAGCGCACAGAATCACTTCACATTCTTCTTGTAGTGCTAAGAGAAAAACCCAATGGTAAGTGAACTTAATCATCAACCTATGTTTTTGCATTGAATGCTAAATGTTCACTCAATTTTTTATTTAAAGTACTGCATTGCACTTACTCCGCGTAAAAATATTTTACCCAGTATCATTACGACAAAGATTAGTAACAAACAATTAAACAAACCTTCCTTCTCGTTCTTCTGCTTCATCCCGAAACAATTCCAACCTTCGGCACGTCAGAAATGCACATCTTTTTGACAACACAATATTTTGTGTAATTTGATCCGTATATTGACAAATAAATAAGAGGAAAATACGAAATAATGCAGTGTAGTGAAAATTAGTACTTGATGGAAGCCCAGATCCTGCAATTGTTCTGGTGACCATGAAGTATTTAAAATTGATTCAAATAACTTTAAATTTACCGTGTTGCAAAATAGAATGAAGTAATGATTTATCACTGTGACAGTTTGCAATAGGTTGTACAAATCGGTCATTGAATATATCTAATAAATCCATCAAAAATTCCTGCTTTTCAATCATCCCATCCTGAAATAAAATTCAAATTAAGCATGAGACGAACTAAATCATGCTTATAAAACAAAAACAGAAGTCCTTATAAAAAACTTGATGTTCTTAAGTTTCTAATTAGTTTCATCATAGAAATCAGTTTGATCACAACATTTTTCCATCCAACTGATAAGAAATCGAAGAGAGAAAGCATGAAATATGATACAACTTAATTAAACTAGAAAATACCGACTTCGTAAGCATGTTTACATATATATACAAAATGAGGCCAACGATCAGTATAAACAATATTTGATTCTAGTTTGGCACAATCGTTCATTTGAGTTAACATTAACTTAACGTATCTGGTAAATACTGAGGCGAGTTCTGCAAATAATTTAGTCTTTACAAAGAAAAACTTGAATTCAATTACTTTTTCCATATCTTCAGAGTAAACTGTGCAAACATTGTACAAAATTAACGTAACAAACTTTTTATAAGAACCGAAACAAAAAAGAATGTTACCAGAAGCTAACTGATCGCTTGTGGATTTTTTCTGTTTGTTAACGCTGCTATTGTTTCCTTGACCACCCACAGAAATTAGCTTCAAAAACCACAAGGCTCGATTCACAGGGATTTTATAATCACATAGGTACTCCAAAGCGTCTTCCTACAATATATTTGTTCATTATGCTGACAACAACGTTCAAAAACATGTGAGAAGCCCTAGCTGCTGAATTGCATCTTCAATACATTTTAGTTTTTAGTAATGATAGGCAATTATTATTTCATGTTTTGATGACTCAATTACAAAATATAAAAAGAAACCTTTCTACGAAAAAAAGGTAGCTTTCGGGCTAATAAACCTAGACACTTGCCATGAGACAAATCAGCAAACCAATCGTTTCGTTCCTTCGATCTCTTAGCTTTTTCCTGCAGAAGTTGAAAAAATAAAAATAGCTATCATCATGGAACACGTTGAGGATATGAAATTACGTTATATATATAAAGAATAATTAGTAAGTAAGAGTGATTAGTCTTCAAATAATTTTTTAAATGTGCACAAAAATGGCATAATTTTCATGCATGAACAAGCACAACATTAAAATTAAGAAAAAAAACCAAAGACTCACAACATTATGACTAAACTGCTGAAAAAAAGACTGTGGACCACTGCCCACACTGTTGCTTCCATTACTGATACTATCTTTTAAACCATTTCCAGTACGCTTCCGTTCTTTATCAAGATTTGCATTCAGCTCCAACTTTTTGTTCATTATTTGCATCACTAGTTGTGCTGAACGCAACATGGTATCATCCAAGCGATCCAAACGTGGTACCTGCAATAAATATGAAATACATTCTGCAAAATACTTTTAGTTCTCAAAATTTATCACATATTTTGATTCTAAAGAAATGAAAGTAACTGCAACAAGTTATCTATTTCTGATTGCATTTAATATTTAGTTCTTTACCATAGATACCTTAGCGTTGTAAACAATTGATTCATGTTCATACGATGTTACCGCAACTTGGTACCCCTTTTTTAGACGATCCGCTCCTAAATTATCTTCTTCTTGTTTAGCCTAAAAATGTAGGAGAATTAGAAGAATGAACAAGATAATTTTAACAATATGAACAGGCACCAATTCATGAACTGAACGTTAAAAAATAGTTTTTTACAGCACGCAACAATATTTCTTAGGTAACTGACTAACACATAAATCCTTTGCTGACAACAATATACATTTTTTGCCCATTTTTTAACTCGATGCTTTAAATATCTTTAGTATAGCACCAGAAAAACCTAATCAAATGCAAATTAACTCAAAAAATTGTTATTAAAGTTACAGTGCAAACAAAAATCACCAATAATTTGAAAGCAACTGATATTCTAATATAATTTTGAGCTATAATGAGAAAATAATACCAACAATTTAAAAAATAAAAAATAAAGCTAACGTCTTGTGGATAGACATCGGGTGGTCCTAATCTATTTCTCTTCAAAGCTCGTCTCGCTGGTGATTGATAATGCCAAGATGTAACGTTCATACTTTTCATGGTGATTTCATGCTTTTTTGTCACAATATCCGACAATAACTCCACATATTCTGAAAAATAGGAATTGATGAATACATTACAGCACGAATAATAAAAAATAGGAAATAATGACACTGACGCTGACACATACAAGATCTAAAAAATTAAAGCTTTAAATATGTAATACAAGGATGGCGTTGAATGAAAAGCGCATTCAAAAACAAATATTTGAGATAAAAATACTTAAGGCCGACGGAAATAAAAGTTTAAAGAATTAACAATGAAACAGCCAGTCACTTCAGAAAGCAAAATATTTCAATATATGCCAAGAAAGTGAAAATGCAATAAGTAACCAAAAAATAAATTAATTTAAGAGCTCAAACTACGAAGAGTTAACTCAAATTACCAAACTACATATGAATACCTTAAACTCAAAGTTAATTCTGGACGTTTTCAAGCACGCTAATCAATTTAGAAGCAAATACTATTTCATGTACTTATCCGTAAAAAGATTATAAGTAAGTACTTTTATTCATTAATATAAGTGTATTCGAAACTGCAGAAATACAGTTTTGACGATGTGTTTGTAATTTTAACCGTATGAACGGCTATCAATATACACTAGAAGATATTTAAAAATAGTAACTGGATAAAACTTCTTGAAGTTACACTTGTAAGACCTCGCCCTACTCCCTTACACTTTAGCACATACGTAAAGAACTGTTGACTTAAATCAAAATGCTTAAATTCACCCATTCTGTATATCTGAAACACAAAATTGCACATTCGTTGCGTTGTCACTGCATGCGCGATATCTTGAAACACCTTGAAACTAAAGCGTCGTACGTCTTGCTAAGTAATGTGTCTGAGTTTGATGGTTAATTAATGTTTACTTGACGCAAATGGCCATTTCAATGTGGTTTGGAGAACGCATTGCTTATGATATGAAGCGGAATTCCGTAGTTAATCAGTATGATAATAGCGCAAAAGTATTGTAATCTCTATATTTAATTGCATTTAATCATGTATATTTTGTGCATTCGTCTTCTAGAATCAATATTAAAATGCTGATCGAATGTTAGCAATCATCGTAGAATCAGCTAAAATTTTATTTGCATGCTTTTACGTGTCAGTGACCGGTCGGTTTCATTAAAGCCGATAGTTTTTACGCTTTGCATTGGAAATGCTTTACGAAAAAATATTTAATAATTTATTAAGAGTATTCTTTTTGGTACTAAAACATTTATTTTCTGATGTTATCAATAAATTTTTGGAAGTTAAAGATTGCAATCACTCAGTTTTGTAGTGGATTATTCATTTCAAATTCAGAAATGAAATTCAGATAGTTAAGGTTTTTTTGAACGAGTTTTTGTAGTTTTATGTTGTATAGTAAATCCCTCATAATATTTGTGTGTATTTTGAGTTTGGTAGAATGTTTTTGGTGTCATTTATTGCGTTGTTGCTATCAGTTGAGAGTATGGAACCTGTCACCATAAAGGGTAAACTGAAATGTGGTGAGCTTCCAATTTATGCAGCTTTGTTGGCTATATACGAAAAAGTTGTCAGTGAGTTTCTTCACTTTAATGAAATCAGTAACGGTAACTTAATCCACTGCATTTAAATAACAACAGCGAAAATTTTCTATTTAAATAGTGATTTAGCTGATTTTACGATTTACATTTAAATAGTGACAGCGAAAATTTGACTGTTATTCATGTGGATAAATGTATTCTGAGCATTAATTGTTTGCAATCTCATTTTTTATATCTTCATTAAATACAAATTTAAATAAATACAGAAATTTTGCAGTGATGACCAACGCAGTACCAAAAATATAAATATAAAAAGAATTGTTATTAATAAAATTTTTGCGGGTTTTTTCAGAATCTTCATGCAACTCGAAAAAGAATTACCATTTCAAGAGTGAATTTTGAAAATGATAAATTATTTCATATTTGAAAAGCGTGGAAAACTGATTACATCGGCACTGACTAGTGTTTATTTTTAGCATCAAAACATTATCATTCGAAATTTACAGTAGACAGGGATACAAGATTTGCTAAGGAAGAATTCTTGCTCGTAAGTGATTGGAAGATAAGTAATCGTGAGGGAAATTATATTATACATGGAATTCAATATAATCAGCAAAATATTATGTTTTTAAATATCACACACAATTGTGTTAGGCTACGCCAAAAAGAATTATATAAGGTTTGACCTCCCACTGTTTCTTTTCAAAAATTATTGAATTTCTAGTGAGATAAATACAATAAAGCAGATAGGCGGATAGATAGATGGGATATACAGACAAGTAGGTAGGAGTTATTTGTGTAAGTCATAAGGATGGTGATGGGAATAACTTCGACAAGTTTCACCTTTATTGGGAAAATGAGATAATGGTTATGTGATGCAAATTTAGCTGTGTGGTGTGAAAAAATACAACTTCTGTTTTATGTTTATTTTGATGGTCTCAAGAAATGAATGGCAACTGAATTAATGAGTTTAGAATTGCTATTCAAATGCTCTGGTGATCATGAAAGAAAAGCACAGAGTGAAAGTCAATACATGGAATAGTAAGAGAGAACAGCAAACGTCGAGTGGAAGCACATTCATATTCAACGCGGATTTGAGTCATAACCAATTTAGTAATGGTATCAACTGCGTCTATTGGGATTTTGAAATGCCCTTCAACATAATGCAGAAGTACTTAAAATTTGCGAATCTCTTGACGTAAAAATATTGTCACGGATCTGTGCAACCTTTATTTACTCTCACGCAATCTGCTGCAATTTTTGTTGCTTTGTCGGCCTTAATCCTTATTGTGTATGTGAGTAATATATCTTTGCAACCTTTGCTCAGTTATAGTTTTTTCGTGATACTCTGTAGAAATAATTGTATCATATCGTGTCTGTTGTTTTTTCACTCCACACTGTTGTAATGTGGTAAATCACTTACACTTATATATATTACATTTAATTAGAAAACTTTATCATTTTGCAGTAGAAATATAAGTTCAATGCAGTTCATGGCATATCGGCATTTATGGAAGAGACGTAAAATATTGCAGCATGCTAAAATTTTGCATAAATTTATAAAAGCAAAACATATAAAATGAGAAGGTTTGTTGCAAAAATTAGAGAGAGTTTATTTCTCCACGTATCGTGAACTACACGTATTTAACTGCTATGACGACTTTGGTGAGGACTTTACTCTGACAAAACTAGAAAATATAAGCTTTTCGACAAAATTGTTTTCAGAGGAGAACTTCTTAACATTGCGTGAATACAAAAGTGATTTTGATCTAACTAAAAGTAAGTATGGGAGGTCATGTGAGACTTTATTTTACTGATAGTTTCAAGAAACTTCTAACATTCATGATTGCAACGTTGCGAAAAGCACACAAGCAGAAGGGAGCAGGCGTACATGACGTCTTTGAAATCAAACTTTGTAATAAGATATGGATAGTTACAATTATTAAATATAAGTCAGCTCACAAATATGGAACGAAGCCAACAAGCGGGTGCCTTACTTCAACTTATCAGTAATACATAATGCTCAATGTTCAGTTGCACACAGAAAAATTGGCAAGTAAATACGAAATGAGTGTGAGAAGCAATAGGAATAAGAATGCAGGAAGCTTAAGTCAGAATATGAGTAAGACTGGTGATTCTCGCTTAGATACAGCTTCTTCATACATGTCGTGCTCTACGGAGAACACGCAGAGGGTAGGTATCGCTTAAATGACGGAAAATTTTCAAATGGTTCTACACTTGCTTGTTCAGTCAACGTTTGCGTTGATTATGCTTGAGTAACACGAATTGTTGCGTTAGAATCCATTTTATTATAACATTGATAATTGTTGGTTATTTGTTAGAAATAGTTCACGGAAAGAGTATGCCAACTACGTATGACTAATTAAGCTTAGATCAAATTCGAATATTCTCGACAGCTTTAAGCCAAAACGAAAACTTCGTCAATAATAAAAAGTCAAAATTATAAGTTACTTAATTTTTACTCACATTCAACTTCAATTATTATTTTTCTGAAAGTATCAAATATTGCAAACTTTGGAAAATAGAACTTGATATGTCCACATTATTATTTGTTCTAGTTTTGACCACAGAATATCAAAGAGAATATCTACTTCACAAATTTTTCAATATTATGATTTTAACTTTTTATACAACGTATTTACTATGTAGTCAAAAACTGTCCCAGAATCGTCTACAATTGCGGAAGGGCAAATGATTCGTACAGCTAAATGTGAAGAAAAAGTGAGTTTGAAAGCAAGTATTTAAAAATGGTTAAATAGCAGTTAGCAAAGTTACTTAAAATTATGCTAAATATTTATTCACCTAAAAAGCACAGCAATTATGAATTGTAAATTCAGGAGATTAGCTGCGCATAATCTTCTTTTTATGCATAATTTGTAATGAAATGAAATGGAATTCTTTCAGTACAAAAGAAGAAGGAATCATCATTTTAAGGTTAAATTTGATTTGACATTATTTTAATTTATGAATTTAGGCGCAGATATTTGCTCATTTCTGACAATACCTAGAAAGCATTTCATATGCTTCTACTTAGAACAACACAGTTAATTTTCTTCTCATATTTGCTAGCGGTCAAATTACTTAAAATAATTAACAATTTGGATCGTTTAGTTTTGCTAAACATAAAAAAATGAGCAATTAGACGAGAGGTTCGATAATAATAATTAAAATGATTTCAGCCAACAGATAGATATATTATAAATTGGCAGTAAGTTACTCAGTAAGTTAGTCTAAACGGATAAAAGTATTCTACGCTAGTGAGTTCAGCTGCCAACTAGAGGCCAACTAAGGAAGATCTTACGTTCTTGCAACTGAGTGTGCAAAAATAGCTACAAAAGTTTGATTTAACTGCTGAAAGTTACCACGATAACCTTTGTCGTGAAAAGCTTTGGACTAAATTTAGCAGTTCAGGAGCACTCACCTGTTGTATCTCTGAGCTCATTCTCCATCTCATCAAGGCTGAGAAAGCACGATAGCCACTGCAAATGGTACCAATTAAATCATCGTGAAATGAACCAGAAGTCACTGAAATCAAATCTTTTTAGAAGCAGAGCAGACTAACTTGCAGAAATTTAGTCACAAAGAATAAATAGTTAAAGTGTAGAAAATGAAGCATCAAAAGAATAAATTTTGATTGCTTGCCTTATAATAAGCAAACGTTTTCTAACTTGTAAGATGACATGATGCAAATGAAATAAGGACTTTCCTCTCTTTACGAGTAAGCAATCTTCACGCATACCACGTCAAACTCCAAACTTACGCTTTAAATCTTTTTACAGTTTGTTTTTTAAAAAAAGCTAAAAAAATTAAATTGAAACTGATTTCTTGTTCAAAATTATTTACTTGTAGGCAGTATCGAAAGAGAATGTGGCAAGCACGTAAAAAACTTAAGAAGCACAATGATAAACAAAAAGATGATGAAGAATTCTTAAAGATTCTGGAAAAATACAAGTAAAAGTATCAAAATGATTTTGGTTTTGTCTGAAACACAAACTTTCTGAGTTAATTGAACGGATTTTTTCACGGAAACGCATTCTCTGAACGATTAATTGGTCGTACAGCTTCTATTACTTAGCTTTCAGTATAGCAGTAATAATTGATTGATTTAAGACAAATACTTCCGAGAGATACTGTATTCCTTACGTATTATTTCCATCAAAATAAATAAATTACTTGTTTTTTTTTCATTTACATCATACTTGTTTGTTTAACTATTAAGTGGGAATAATTTTTATTGCTTCATATCACTAATCCAAAATGGGCAATTTATTAATCTAGTCGATTAACGGGTTAGTTTAATCTGATAAACTTAGAATGATCTAATAGACTTAGAATATGGTCAAAAATTTATAGAAGTAACTTTTGATCTAATTTGTGTCTTAGAAAAAAGAGTAATTTAAGGCAAAAGAAGTTTACTCTCAAATGTGAATGCAAACGTACGTGTTGGAGTTGGCTACGTGATTGCTGGATATCTCTTACAAATTTATTTCGTTACGTTCGACAATTTATATTATGCTGTTGTTGTCCACCACTTTTGGGTTCTTGCTTGAATAAGGTTGCGTTGAATTAAATCAGACAAAATCCAATTATTGTAGGAAAATGTAGAGAAAAAAGAATTGCAGAAAGTCTTCTTTACCTAATCTAAAAATAATTCGTACTGTATTAATTTGTAAAAACCTAATCTGAGATTAATCTGAGATTAGGTTTTTACAAATTAACACAGTACGAATCATTTTCAGATTAGGTAAAAAAGACTTTAAATCTGAATGACTAAATCTGATTAAATTTGCTGTTGTGTGTAATGATTTTAAAATTTTGAGAGTGCTCAAAATATAAACTTGCGGAAAATTGTGAATGATTCCTTCCTTCTATATTGCTTGCTTTTGCTTCCAAATTAGAACAAAGGAATGAACGTGAGAATCTTTCACTGCGCTTCTTATTGAGAATGATTCATACTGTATTAATTTGTAAAAAATGAATATTTTACAAATTTAGCATTTCAAATTATTGCATTAAATTAATACTAATATGAAAAAACAAAGATTGCATTCTGGCCACCACCTCGAGAATATTATTTCTTCGTCGGTGATAATACGCTCAGTACAATCAGTGAAAGTGACAGAGAATTGCTCACAAAGAAGCATCATATCGTCCGCAAAGCTAACAAGTGATTTTTCAGATTCCGAATACTCAACTGATATATTATTAATTCTTAATGCATTATAAAAAGTGTTAACTTAACAACGGAATTCTGGTTTAAATAGTTTATGCCATTCGAAGAGGCAGTTTTAAATTGACCAAAAATAGTTTATTATTCAAAAAATATTACTTTTTATTGCATTTCCTTATCGTTTATGCTTCTGTCATATCAAACTTTCACTAAAAATTAAAAGTGTTATACAATTAAACATAATAGCCATAGTGTAATATTTAAATATATACGATAGTGGATATAAATTGACATTTTATGTTTGAAATTTTTTGAAATTAATCGAATTCACTTTCTTGTTGTTACAATTTTAAGCGCAAATATGAATTCCAAAAATTTTATCTACTACAAAATTACTTCTACAACAAATTACTCGTCCTTATAAATATACAAGATAACTGCCAAATCAATAATAACTTTAACTTTGACAAAAAGTTTTGAATTTGATTATTTTTGAGAAATAAATAATTTTAGTACATAGTTTTATTTTGAAAAATAAGTAATGAACGAGTGAATAGTCTTAGTTACTTAAAATGACATTCTATACATGAAAAAATGTAAATTCAACAATGTAATTTTGATTCATTCATAGAAACTGTTTGAATCGTAGAGATTGGAGATTCGGTTTCGAGCACGAATGTGCCGCGCAAATATTTGGAATTGAATGCTTTGTGACACAAACGGAAACAAAAAACGTAAATGTGTGCTTGACAATTTTCTGTTTAAAATTGTTTTTTTTTTCATTTTAAAATTTTACTCTTTTTCAGTACAGTACTTTCACAAAAATATAGTACAAGCAGAAAGCTACTCAAGTCTATTTGTATTATTCTAGCATATTGCTTGTGTATTTGTTCGAAAATCAAAGCCACGTTATACGTTATTATTTTCTCATCCAAATGGTAGTGATTTGTCAGATCATTTACTCGGTTTGCCTAATTTGCATGATGTTGCTAGGTTAGTCGTATCTTATAATGATGCAAGGTAGATCGAAACAAGCCTGCTCCTCAAATCATGTCATAGTTATAAGCTTCAATGCGAAATGTAATTTTATTCACACTACAACTGCATAAAAAGCAGTTATTAATTATTAATTAACTAAAATAACAATTATGCAAATATTTTATACTGAAAGTCTCAAATGTTGCTGGGATCGAAGTGAACAATGCGGTCAATTTTCGCTAATAAATTTTTTAGTACAATTCGTATTTCATTGTTAGTACTATATTTTGTCACCCCTACAATTTATGGAAAAAGTGTGGTCAGTGCAGTGCATGTAGCATATTATAACCAAAAAAATGATTTCAGAAAGATTTGCAGGTTTTTTAACTGTAATGTCTGCTCATACGATTACAGTGGTTATGGGATTAGCGAAGGAAATCCTAACGAAAAAAATATGTTCTCAGACATCAATGCTGTATATAAAGTTTGTTTTCAAATGTTATACAGAATTCTAGCTTGTTTTTGATGATCTTTCCACAATAATTACTTCAGAACACAACTTTTCTTCATCGCTTCATTCAATGTCTAACTCGTTGATCGTTATACTGCTCTTATTTAGTATTTACTAGAAGATTTATGCATCCCAGAAGCAAACATTATATTATGGGGCTACAGTATTGGTACCGTAGCATCCGTGGAATTAGCGTTACAAGCAAATAAACTAGCAGGTTTGATACTTCTTGCACCTATAGCATCTATTTTACGTACATTATGTTGGCGAAAGTGTTGTTGGGATCGAAGTGAACAGTGCGGTCGATTAACAAATTGTTTTAGCGATCGATTCGATATTGTCAAAAAGGTAAGGTGATAGATCAATTCAGATTTTGTTTTTTACTTTCTAAAATATTAATACAAAATAAATATTTAGTGTTAGTACACTCGTTTATCATTAAATGAGATACTTCTTTTCACCAGTTACCATACTACCTGCCATCAACTACATTTCTGCAATGATAACTTCCACGTTCAAACATGCCACTGTACAGTTAATTATCATTTTACAACTACAGATGCAGCGAAATATTTCCAAGTATGTTTTGTCTAATATTATGGAGAAAACTGATAATTCATTAAGATTGGTGAGATCGAAATGCCAACGCTGATAGCTCACGGAGTACAGGACATGATTGTAACAATCGAACATGGCAAAGCACTGTATCGACAGTGCCCCGGGGCCGTCCAACCTTTGTGGATCCCTGATGTTGGCCATAACAATCTTGAAAATAGCGCTCTTTTATGGAGTCGAATTCGAAAATTCATAAACAAGTGATAAATGTTTATTCTGTGATTGAAGCAAATCATTTGAGCAAATTTATAGTGAGATTTCAGAGTGTGAAAAGACAGAAGAAGCAGTTTTGAATTAGCATTTCTATTCAAACATCGTACACTCTATCAGACGAAGCATTACAATAGACTCCAATGTTTCGCACTAATTTGAAATAAGTTTGGAAGTACAAACATTGTGTTGGAATCGCTCAACTAAGTAGTTTGTTTTCAGAGAAGCTCGACCACCTTTACATGGTCAAAAGTCGATTACAAAACATCACAACAAATGACCAAAACTGAAATCATAGGTCAAGGTGAAGTTCGACAAAACTGTTGACAAGTTTAGTTCATGTGACTTTTTGTGACTTAACTTATGCTACGAACTTCTTAATGTTGTACAACTGTGTCTGTTATTGTTTCAAGTAAAACTGATTATTTGAGTCGAAATAAAGCGAGCTAAATTCGGAAAATATATGATTTGTTTTTCTTGACTTTATTTTTGTTACTCTCGCTAGTTTATTCTAAATTATTGCCTGATAAGGCAGTTTGCTAAAGATTTAACATTTATGACGAGATAGGGAGCGTTGAAACTAGTTACAAACTACGTGGTATGACGTTAAAAAAACGTTTGATTCAGTAAATCATAAGTATCTGATTAAGTGCACTGAAAGGCTTAACATGCCAGCGTGGACTAGCAGGTTTCTGTGCAGCATCGCTTCAAAATGGGGAGTTTCACTGATAAGCAATAGAAAAACCATAATGGAGAAGAAAATATAACGTGAGATTCCTTAAGGTGATACCTTGTCTCCAGTGCTATTCGTTTTGTGGTGGAGCTATTGAGCTATCGGTTTAATATGAGGTTACAATAGTTGATGGGTGGCAGTTCCCACCAATTAGGGAATGCACACAACGAACCATCTGTTGTTTAAAGATGACCTCAAGATGTTTGAGACCATTCAGGATATTATGAAATCTACAGCTGGACAAGGTTAGGGGATTCTTGAGCTAATAGGATTTTAGGGCTATAGACCGTGATATCAGATAGTTAGTTAGTAATATTATGGAGTTCACAACGTCCATATGAAGCAAGATAAAGCTTATAACTCATAGCAATATTCTACCTTATTTTAAGATTAGGTACAACCTCATAGACAATGCAATCGTTGAAAACGTATCGTCAGGCCAGAAAGTGTTCTTATGTAGCGAGACAGAAAGTAAAACTTGTTACGCAGAGCGTGCAAAATGCGTAGTAATCAGTTAGCCCTATTAGCCAATCCATTATTGTGGCTACGATACGGAAACATTACCTCGCAAGATGAGGCGCAATACTGTCACCTCCAAGACAGAAATATGTTTGAAGCTGAGAAAGGTATGTGCCAACATTGTAGGCAACGTGTGAAGACGATGGACCATCTGGCAACTCAGTGCGAAAAAATGTTACATCACGACTATACTAGAAGACATAATGAGGGGTTGCGCGTATCAATTTGGGACATGGCAAAAAGTATGATTTTAAAGTGTTCCCACGCCTGCGAAGCCATTCTGTTTAGAAGGTTGTCGCAAATGAGGACGTGGAGATAGATCAGAGTCGTCGATACGCATGTTAGGGCAGCTATAAAAATAAAGGGAAGATTGCGCCTGACAAAAAGAAATTAGAAATCAAAATTCTCAGAAAATAAGAAAAATATTCCGTAAGCAGCCACTGCAATGCGTTGTACTTCTGTAGTACACAATCATACGTAATTCCTGAATTAGAATCTAAACTGTTTGCATACAAGGCATGTTTCTCGAAATATAATAATAGTTGTGGTAACAAAAATGCATAAATTATAATATCGATTTACTCAACAATTTTACAGTCAATTCATTACAAACAAAACTGATTTAAGCGCCAAATATGCATCTGAAAGGTATTGATTGAAATTACTGAATAGAAACAAAATTTGTTACTTAAATGCAAAATATTCAACAAAAATACTTTTGCGTGTGAAATATTTGTACTTATGAATGCGTAAGATAGGATTTACGAGTTCCTTAAAATTGGTTTATTCGTTAATCACGTCCGTACCATACTTCAACTGTCAACCATTGTTGTGAGTACTTTTCTAATCTGAGTAATTACTGTTTTAAAAGTCATAAATTTGTTACTTATTTCGTTGTTGCGAGTTCGTGACAAGTAGGATAGCATTTTCACAATGGACCCCTTAGCATTTTTATTTGAATTATTTCAACATCAGTACGTGAAAGCATGGGATTTGCGAGTTCTTTAAAATCGGTTTATTCGTTAATCTCGTCCGTACCATACTTCATCTGTCACCCATTGTTGTGAGTACTTTTCTAATCTGAGTAATTACTGTTTTAAAAGTCATAGGTCTTTTTTGCCTTACTGGTTTATAATTATTGAAAGCTCAATTTGATTTGCTTTTATAACTCTAGTCAGTTTGTGATTTATATTTGCAGCACTTCTGAATTTTGAGTTCATATAAGATGCAATATTGATCTTCTTAGTTTTAACAGAAGTTTATCTTGACTATTGGAATCTGTATTATCAGATTTTTTATCGTATATAAAATACATTTAACAAATAAAGCATCACTCACTTTCTGATCTTTTGTTGCAATTTTGTTTCTGTTTATATAGTTGACCCTCAAAGTTACCACTTGCATTTGTTAGTTCTTCATCCTTTTTTTAATCTTTCCTTACTGCAGTAATGTTTTTTCATTACTTAGTGCATATTAGTCTTTTAATTCGGTTAACTATAGTTATTTCTTACTTTCGTCTTATTATATGTACTTTCTGTATTTTATCGCTCATACATATTCACTGTGGTCCTTTAAAATTATTTCGTATTTTCGCCAAGTTTATTAACCTGTAAACTCATTATTTTTTTAAATAGCACTTTCAGGTTTAACAAAGTGCTTATGGAAGATCGTGATGATGGCATTGGATCGGAAATTAATACGCCACGAAATGTAGAATTACTTGAAAAACGTGAAAACAGCAATCAGGTGGAATTATTTATTTCATAATTATGGTTGTAGTGTTTGAAATTTACGATATTTTAATGTTTATATAATTTTAAATCTCATTTTTAAGGGTTAATTTTCTCTTTAAAATAGTGGTTAATGTCGTGATATGATAGCTTTTCATTATGCTTGTTTGAACAGTTAAATTCAAAGTTTACTAGAGAAAAAGAGAACTTGTGGAATACAAGCAAACAAAAGTGCTGCAGAGTATTTTTAAAAGTAATTAATTGATATAAATTTCAAGTGTGAATATTGATATAATCGTGCTACTGTAGCTGAATAAATATGTTCAACTATATTCTTATATTTATATTTACTTATTAATTTATTCGTCTATTTATATTTGCATTATTTTCTTTTATTTTGATTACCTTAAGTTGTTCACATTATATGTTCATATGGATTCACCTTTTCATCAACAAATATTTGCTTAATAAGTAAATATTTGTAGTTGAATAGTTTATCTTCATATTACACTTGTTATCTGTAGATGAATGGCACTGAAGTGGGCCACCTCATTGCATCTTATCCGCCATCTTCCTCCCCAACAAGTTCCACTCCAATCAAACCACAGGGTTTGGAGCTTCAATTACAATTACAAGGAATATCTCCAATACACAGAACAGCGACAGCTACACTAAATGCTCAGCAAATGAGTGATGAAGGTTGCGATGGTAAGCAATACACGAAGTTAGGTAATTGTGTTTTTGGTACATGGATTATCATATGTGATCTGGCTCCTTTATATGAAACTGATGTTTGATTAATTTTTCAGATTTAGCTGTGTTACTGCGCAACATTCAGTCAAAGTGCATTGAATTAGAGAGCGAGAAAAAATATTTGGCAGATTTAATGAAGGAAATTAGGAATGAAAATCAACAATTTCAAAATCAAGTAAAGCTAAAAAAGTTGAATTTTATCGCTTGTGTAATATAGAATTTCGTGTGGCTTGTTCATTACTATAAATTAACTCATATTATTTTGATGTGAAGTGTAATTCTGTTCGTAAAATTTTAGGTCACAGCTTCAAGGATTTTGGCATCAAATTTAGCAATTGAAAACGAAGCATTAATGGTTAGTATGATTAAAAATCAACTTATAGTTTTGGCATTTACGGGTAAGAAGAATTTGTAACTCCATGATGTGATTTCTTAAAAATAACTACATTAATTTCATTAAAATTATTTTTCGGCCACTTGCTGTTGAAAATTTTACATTATTATCTTTTTATTTAAAAAAAAATTTATTTATGTGCTTTACTGGGAATAGTTTTGCACTTATTTACGATATATGTTTATAAATTGTAGAAAATGGTAAAAGAAAATGAGTCGAGGCACCTAGAATGTCAGCATCAACTGCAAATGGTGCAACAGAAATTGACGTCTATGAAAAATGTACAGTTGGAATAAAAACTAATGTCGTTATTATTTTTTAACTATATAAATTTTTTTCTGTCGTAAATAGTTATTAGATTTAAATAAGGAATTTAGTCAAAAACATATTCACATCTAACTGCTCAAAAACTACTTCCTTTCGAATAACTGATCATTTTTCAATTTGGTCTATATCAAGAATCTTTAGATGTCATTAGATGAAACATTGCCGAACTTCGTGCAGTTTCAAAGTGGGGGAAAATGTTTCTTTGTGAGAATTTCAAAATTAGAGTTTGAAAAAGTACTGTTCTGTTTAGGAACTATATGAAATAACATTTGTTAAAAAAATGAACTAATAAAACCATATCAAAAAATTACAGTTGAAGTTGATTACTAAAGAAACTACTTAGTTTAGAATTACGAACAAGAAGCTGAAATTTGGAAAGAAAAATATGCTACTCTGGAAGAGGATGCGAAAGAGTTGCATTTACAGAACATAAGACTGGAAGATAAATTGAAAGTTAAGCAAGCAGTAATCAGTGAATTAGAAGCGAAAGAAGGCATCTGTCAGGATGAAAATTGCAATAAATTCAAATTATTTTACGAAACAAATGTTGAAAAGATCGCCGAGCTTCACATGGAGTTAAAAGTATTAGAAGAAAAGTTAGGACAGTCGGAAGGGCGAAATTCAAAAAACGTAAAGGTAGAAGAGGAACTAAAAGCAAAAATAAACTCTTTAGAAGAAACACAAGCTGAATCGCAGAAAAAGAAACAAGAACTTGAAAAGCAAATCGAAGAACTTGTGGACATTAATTATGTGGGTTCTTTTAATGTGATGTGGTCAACAGTTACTCTTGATTGTGTCCGATGTTTCGGAAGGGTTATGGTGCCAAGTAGAAAGTATTATCAAAAATAACTGAAAGAAATGTTGTTTTGAAAAAAATTAGTGGGATCTCCGTGTCCACGGTATTAGCTGTTTATCACGTGGGAGAGTTCATAAAATCATTTTCAGAAAATTTTTTTTTAGTATTCACTGATCTGTTTTTTTCATAAATGTGCAGACTTAGTCCATAATATC